GTTTGGGCAAATTAATTTATTTTATACTGCAAAAGATGGCCATACACAGGACAGATCATCTTATATTAATTATATTATATTACTATGCTTATGTTAATGATCTCACTGTATACCAAGTGCTCCTAAAAATGAAAACCAAAAAATCTTTATATATTTTTTTCTAGTTTCTGCATTTATAAGCAGTCTTTTTTATAACAGCCTTAAGTTCCAGACTGAATGCCAAATGTGCTTCCTGTTAAGATCAAATTTAGCTTTAAAATAATTAGCCCTTGGTCCTAATTCTAATGGAAATGTAAGACTTAACTATTCAGTGATAGTAGGTAGCACTATTAGATACTGCTGCTAACAGTGATCTATATGAAATAATTAACAGTCTGTTTCTTATAGATATATGCAGAATTTCTCCTAAACCAAAGGCAAAAACAATAATAAAAACTACTGCCTTTTAACCTTTCCATGAATTTAAATAAAAAACGTGTACTGAACTGCACATTAATAAGGCCTGTTAAGCTTGGAAGAATATTTTATGTTCATCTGCAGTTCATCAGACAGGTTCATGACCTCAGTAGAATTGCTCTAGCTCCCGCAGTTTTTAAACTGGCGTGGGGGAGGATGTGAAATATTATTTTATGATTAAAAAATTTTACTAGAATTGACAGAAACAAGGAAACACATTCTGATATTGAGTATAGGCTCTGAAATTAGCACATATAAAACTAAATATATTGAATGGATTGACTTTTATTCCTCCAGGAACCTTAAAAAGAAGCAACTAAAGAGAGCTAAATATAACACTAGGGTTTTATTCTTAATGTAGGACATTTAAGGTTCAGCCTCTACTTTGTGTCTGGAGGTACACACAGAGGGAAACCACAGCCTTATTTCACAATTTTCTAGGTTATAAGGTAAAGCCAAAAATATATAATGTTTCTTCCTTAATTTTTTTTTCTCACTAAACGGTATCTATTTTGGAAATGCCCTAGTGTTCTTATCCTGCCTTCCCCCATATTTCCTGTTGAACAACATTGTGTGAAAGCCATTACTATTCAGGGTATCGCTGCTAGCAGAGGTCCCACTAAAACGGTGAAGTAAGTCCAGTTGCATCTCCATCACTCAGCCTGAGAAAATTTCATCTGCAGAGCTGATTCATGCTACTTCTTTGGATCTGCCACTGGCAGCACAATAAGGGATGAATGAAATAAGCACTCAGCAGCTGAATGCCCTTAAAGACCACTTGGGAACTTTATTTGGTGCCAAATAAAGTGACCTGCCAGTGTCAGCTGCGGGAAGCATATTGTATTGGGCTCTGCAGTCTGTCCCAGTTGCCTATTCATTTCTGAGGAAATTTTCAGGTATTGAATTTTAATCCATGATGCCCAATTATAATTTGAGACCCTTTTACATTGGAGACCGGGCTTCACCCCGTTTGGTAATTAAGTCAGAACTGCCTAATACATAATTTTAATTTCCGAAAAGCAGGTGCTTCCCTTGGTCAGTCACCAATCTCTGATTTTCCTTCCTTCTTTAGCTTTAACCATTTCCATTTTCATACCCCCCACCCTGCCCCTGGCTGCCTTCTATAAGTATTTACTGCGTATTAGATGATTTTCCTGCTTAAGCCTGTAGGGATTTCCATAAGCTTTTTAAAAAAAGTGCTTATAAATTTAAAAAAAAAATCATTATGTAGGTATCCATTTGATCTTTACTTTATAATAACTTACTATATTGTTTTTCAAAGTAATTTGAATAAAGGCTTGTTTATGACATTATCTAACACTTGCGATTATGAAGCAAGACTCTCCAGAAATAATTGTCTGCATTAACTTTCTTTGTCTTCTATTTTTACCAATTCAGTTAGAGACCTCTAACAATTCAAAAACTATTGTGGTTGGTTGAGTTTTGTTAAGGCTCTGTGCCTTCTCCTAATAGAACTTTATTGTTTAAAATAAGTATTTGAGAGAGCACATAAGTCAGATACTATCTAAAAAGAAATTGCCCTCCATACACATGCACTAAGATGGTGCAGTCTTATCTTCCAAAACTACTTTGTGCAAGATTGAGCCAGTATCAATAGAGCCAGCAGAGAGGAGATTGTGAAACCAGATGTCAGTTCGTGCCGATGATGACAGTTTCTTTATCCATGCCATTGCTATGAATGAGTTGCCCATTTCACTCTTTTCTTTCCCACACATAAATTATAAAAACTGTTGAAATATTGTTCCTATGATGGCCATCGGTAGGGTTAAATTTAAACTTTGGTGGCCCCAGACAGATATAAGTCATTGGCAAGGGAGGTAAGGAAAAGGGACGGAAAGCAAAACCACAGAGTATTAAATGAGGGAAAAAGAGTTATGAAGGAATAAGGAGGAGAGAGGAGTTGGAGGAAGGGAAAGAAATAGGGATGATTAAGTTGGGAACACAATTAAGTGCTGCCATCAACTAGCTTAATCTGCTCCTCCTTTGGCAGTCTTCTGCAGGCTGAGACCAAAGATGCCTCTGCTACCTCGCTGGACTCCCTTGAATGTTGTCACATAATTAGCTAAGGATTAGCAATACCTGAAAGTCTTTAATGGGACCATGAGCCAATACTATTTTTAAAGAGTAAAGCAACTAAAGTCTGGGTTTGAAAGATGCAAAATTAGAGAGCTTTGCAAAAACACTGTTACTTAACAGAAAAATGTATTTAGTATTTCACTTAAGGAATTAGCTCTCCTAGAATATAAATATGGTTTGATTAAAACAAATGTGAAATTGTTTGTGATCGTGCTTCTAAAACAATGTTCTGAGAAATGTCCATGTCCTGCTAGATATTAACTAATCTTGCCCTCATATATATTTCAACATCATAAATCGTATTTGCCTTCTGCGTCAGAAGGCAAACTGACTCGGTCAGTCACCATGTTTATTACCATATTATAGGCACTGAGAAGTCTTTCAGTAAAAAACAAAATAAAACACAACAAAACCGTTTAGGTTGAACCCAGCATTTAAAAATAAATTTGGCTATGAAAATTTTTTTCTTTAAAAGGCTATTAATAATTTGCATTTTCTAGGACATGGTTATAAAGCAATGTATTCCAGTATTAGTATTTATGATTTTGTCATTGCTTTTGTTTTGAAAAGTATAATTAGCTGAAGTACATGGTAGGTATTATCTTTGGAACCAGAACACTAAAGTTTAATATATCTGTTTACTGTGCAGTTTGTTAAGTTTGATATAAATCTAATACCTTATGACATAGTTTATTTTTGTCATGCCTGTTTACTTTTTGTATTCCTATCAGCCTCTAAGTACATTAAGTGCCCAATCTATGTTTTGTTTTCCCTTGTATCCCTGAGAACTTGCACTATGCTTGGCACATTATAGGCACTCAATATATTTGTTTGAATGAACGAATGAACATTGTAGTAGACATCTGTTTAATCTATAGGTATAATTACATTAGAATGTGGATTTCAAAAGAAAACAATTCTTAGCCTCAAAATAAAAAATACCAGAAGTGAAGGTTGAGAATGACTAAATTGAACTGGTCTTTTGTAGCTTTATCAGAGGCCAATAAATTCCTCACCAATTACTCTGTGGTCTGATGATTCATTGCTCCTATTAGCTGGTCTATTTGAAGTTAATGTTCATTCTATTCTATAATTTTCCAATTTGTTTTTAAATCTTTATATCTTTAATTATTTTCCTATAGCTCTTTCTTACTTGCCTTTTACTTATTGTTGAATGACTTCTTAAAAGCTAAACTAACAGTGAATTTCATATGCTCTAACAAAATTATAAAAGAGACAAGAAAAGGTAACAAAAGTCTAGGACTGAGGAGTGTGTGGTATAGAAGAGGTAAAAGAAGTAAGACGTTTAACTCATTCAACAAGTATTTATTGAATGCCTATTCTATGCTGGACATAGTGCATAAAATCTAGACTATTCAAGGTCAGCCAAAACGACAAAATATTCATTAGACAAATATCGACAGAATTAAGAATTATCAACATTTCATCCTCCCCAAATAAGTTTATACTCTAGAATGACGTAATATTTTTAGAGCAATGATTAATGTGTAAATTGTTTGTCTTATCTGTTATGCTGTTTTTACAGAGGTTCATCTTTTCTTATCTTTATAATGCTGCCAATTTTCCTAAAATTATGCAGTATTTTATGGGCCAGGACAAAACTACTTAATATTATTGTATTGGGCAAAATATAAAGTAATTTTAGTTACCTTAAGTCAAAGTAATAAGTATTCAAAAGTCTACCCAAAAATTGGTTTTGATCAAGAGTTGTCAAACTATGCCTTTTCTATGGGCCGAATCTGACCTACCATGTGTTTTTATAAATAAAGCTTTATTGGAACACAGCTATGCTTATTCACTTACATATTTTCTATGATTGCTTTCCTGCACCTACAGCAAAGTTGAATATTTGCAACAGGGATTATGTGGCCTGCAAAGCTGAAAATATTTATTATCCGGTTCTTTATAGAAGTAGCATAGACAACCTTTAGTAATTTGGATTAGAGCAAAATGATAATTTGGGTAATCATGAAATGATAGGTCACTTAAAAATCATTCAAGATCTCTCTTTGGATATAATTGTGTTCCTATATTTGAATATAATGTGAATATTATTCTGGAAATTCTTATCTAATAAAAATAACATCCTCTTCATTCAAGATCTAAATCAATAGCAATTGGAATTCCATTTCAGTGCTGTTCTCTTGTTCAATATCTGTAAGTATAGAAATGAAAAATGAGAATGTCTAGGTTTTATAGTAATACCGGGAATGTAGAGCTTGTTTCAAGAAACAGGATACTTTAGTGGATATTGTAGACAGACTAGAAGATTGTTTATGTCCTAATATCCACTTTTTTTTGTGTAGTCTCATTCTACACAGAATAGGGCTGACTTGTGTCATCAGTAGGATATTGCAGAAATTATGGAGTGTGACTTCTGAATCTAGGTCCTAAAAGATGTTGTGCTTTTTGTCTTATTTTGAAAGAACCAGCTACTATGTCGAGAGGATACTCAAGCAGCTCTTTGGAAAGGTCGACGTGGGAAAGAACTGAGCTATCTGCTAACAGTTGAAGAAGAACTGAGGCATCCAGCTAACAACTATGAGTGAAAAATCTTGGAAGCATATCTTCGAGCCCCAGTCAAGCATTTAGGAGATGACTGTAGCTCCTGCTGACATCTGATGACAACCTCCTAAGAGACATAGTTCTCCTAAGAGAACCACCCAGCTAAGTCCTGAATTTCTGGCCCTCATAGTCTATGAGATAATAAATGTTTACTGTTTTAAGCCACTAATTTTTATGGTAATTTGTTATGCAGCAATAGATAACTAATACAGTGTATGAGAGTGTGGGCTCTGGTGTCATACAACTTATGTTTGAACCCTGGATCTACCACTTACTAGATGTGACCTTGGGCCAATTACTTAACTATGTTATATAGTTTTCTCATCTGCAAAAGTGAAGATTTAATTGTCCATATCTCATAGAATTGTTGTGAGGAATTCAATGAGATAATAAATGAAGAAACTGCCTGATATGTAGTAATTGTTAAACATTAACAGTTATTGCTTTTAATTATTGCTAGAACTGACTCCAAGTACCCACCTAAGAATTTTTTGAACCTTTTTTTTTGGCAATGAAGTGAAAACATAGCAGAATTTTAAAAAACATATCGTACATCCAAGAATTTATACAACTTGGAACACCTAAAGTTTATGTGGTAGGTCAGTAAAATAAGTAGTTAAGAGGCTATTGTCAATACCTCTGAAAACAGGATACATATTACTACTCCATAATATTACATATGAACAATAGAGGATGAAGAACAGGCTGCTACTGAAGAACATAGGTAAAACTACATAGTCTAACTCCAGCCAAAAATTTTAAAAAACAAAATGACAAATGTAATTTTTGGTCTAATTTTCTAAAGCCTAAACCACACATATTGGTTTTGTGCGTGTGTGTGTAAAAATAAAAGATAAATTGCAAAATAATATGATTCTTTGCAGATTGTTTGAGTTATCTAACCCTTCTTTAATCCGAGGGATTATTGAACAAAACCAATGTTCCAGAAACACTTATGAAATCTGTTGTGGATTACAAATATCATCAGTTAAACCTGTTTCAAATTTATTGCTTTCATTCAGGTTAAATAATAAAAGGGTCCATTTGTCCCTCTACATGTATATACACGAATTTAGCTTTCATCATTCTCTACAAGTTTAATCCAGTGATTTATGATTTTTAATGTATATTCAGGAAATCTGTTGAAGAAACCCATCCAGACAGACAGAAGAGTTAGATGGTATTAATAGGATGTGTGGAGGATTTAAAGATGGTTGATTCAGTTCAGAGTAAGTTAAAAGGAGAAAAAGAATTTAATGCTGTAACCTTCCTTGAGGTTCTAATCATTTTAATGACTTCAGCAAAAGAGAACAGGCTAAGATCAAGAAAGTCCAGAGAGAATGATTCCTGTTTCTAGAAATACATTACACGGAAGAAAAGCCACTGAAGTGTGTTTTAACAGTGGAAAATATCATTATATTTTTCTTAGAGAAAATCTGCCTTCTATTTAAATCATTATATTAATGATTAAATTTGAGGTTTCAGAAATTGATTTTTCTTGGTGAAGCCATTGTATTTCACTTAGCACCACAACCAGCAGCAAAAACTTCCTTCCTTCCTCCCTTCCCTCCTTTCCCCTTCCTCCCTTCCTTCCTTTCTCCCTTCCCCTTCCCCCTTCCTTCCTTCCCCGCTTCCTTCCTTCCCTCCCCTTCCTTCC